GACAGATGCATTCCTAGTAAGGACCGGAGTCAGACAAGTCTGTTTACTCTCTCCCTTCCTTTTTCTTCTGGTGGTCGACTGGATTATGAAGACCTCGACATCTGAGGGAAAACACGGCGTACAGTGGACGGCTCAGAGTCAATTAGACGATTTGGACTTCGCAGATGACCTAGCCCTCCTGTCGCATACACATGAACATATGCAGATAAAGACAGCCAGTGTAGCATCAGCCTCTGCATCAGTAGGCCTCAGCATACACAAGGGGAAAACCAAGGTCCTCAAATTCAAAGCGGAGAACAGTAATCCAATCACTCTTGATGGCGAAACTCTGGAAGATGTAGAATCCTTCACATACCTGGGAAGCATCATCGATGGACATGGAGGTTCAGATGCAGACGTAAAGACGAGGATTTGCAAAACAAGGGTCGCATTCCTACAATTCATGAACATATGGAACTCAAAACAACTTTCAACCAATATCAAAGTGAGAACCCTCAATACGAACGTCAAGACAGTTCTACTGTATGGGGCTGAAACTTGGAGAACTACAACAACCACAATCAGGAAAGTACAAGTATTTATAAATAGCTGTCTACGCAAGATACTCAACATCCATTGGCTGGATACCATCAGCAATAGCCTTCTGTGGGAGAGAACAAACCAACTTCCAGCTGAAGAAGAAATTAGGAAAAGACGATAGAAATGGATAAGACATACATTACGCAAATCATCAAACTGCATCACGAGGCAAGCCCTAACTTGGAATCCTGAAGGAAGGCGGAAAAGAGGAAGGCCGAAGAACACATTACGTCGGGAAATAAAAGCAGATATGGAAAGAATGAATAACAACTGTGAGGAGCTGGAAAGGATTGCCCAGGACAGGGTTGGATGGCGAATGCTGGTGAGCGGCCTTTGTTCCTTCACGAAGAGTAACAGGCGTAAGTAAGTAAATATGATGCCAGTTCATCGACGATAAGGTCATTTTTGATCGAAATGAAGATTACGATGTAGTTCAGTTGATGATTGTCGTTCTTGAAGCTTTGATGACGAATCAGCCCAAATCATCTCACTTATTTGAAGGCCACGGTCACTTGCTACAAATACTAAGTCTCGGTTCATGACATTCTGGTATATGTAAAAATATACAATCCAGAAGCTCGTCAATTTAAATCACATAGAAGCGGCTGTATTTTTCAGGTGTTTTAAATTGTAACTCCTCCTGGACTACCTTTGAGGCCACTGCATGTTCAAAGTCCGGATAAAGGAAAAAGGTTTGGTATGGGATTAGCGACACACATCCCGTAGAAAAATAACTCGCTAAAAAACGCCAACCAGAAAAGAATAATTCAAATCATTTAAAATCTGTCCCGGGAGTTAGGTCGTCATTTAGAAGAGCTATGACGTCCCATAATGAAAGCCGAGTTCTTTCGCAAATCACGAGGCTGATACCCCTTCTGAAAACCAGAGCAACCATTAATTTAAGTACATGGAATGTTCCAACAATTCGGGAGACTGAGAACGTCATCCAAGTTGATGAAGAAATGAGATGATACAACTTGGATGTGCTTGGAATCAGTGAAACACATGGGACGCAGTTTGAACAACAAAGACTAATTTCAGGGAAGAAAATTCTTCACAAACACCAGGAGTTGTACTGATGCTATCCAAACAAGCACAAAAAGCACTTATAGGATGAGAATCTCATGGATCCAGGATCATCAAAGCCGCCTTCAAAACATGGAAAGAAAGCATTAAAATGAATTTCACCAAATGCTATGCGTCTATCAACGATTAAAATGAAGATGTTAAAGATCGTTTCTACGATATGCTACAGTCAATTGTTGAGAAATGCCCAACAAAGGACTTGACAATTCTGAGTTTTTAACGCCAAGGTCGGAATGAAGAACACCAGATATGAAGATATCCTAGGACGACATAGTCCAGGAAAAAAGAACGAAAATAGCTAAAGATCTGAGAATCTATGTTTCCTGAGTAGACTGGTCATAGGCGGCACTATATTCTCACATAAACGCACATACAAAAACATATGGACTCCACCGGATCACACTATGCATCAACAAACATTTTAGGAGGATGATGGAGTTGATATAGCATCAGATCATCACTTGCTGTTCGCCTAGATGGAATGCAATACTTTAGACACTACCAAGTTGATTCCTTTGTGGTTATCACAAGACTATTCCTATCAATTCTTATAGACTGGAACGATCAGAGATCAAGACCACCCATATGGGATCGCGTCCACTTCTCAGACTCTAACGGATATGTCAGCCAATCTAACAGATAAAACTGGACTACCTCTCCCATAAAAATCTCCGAAATTAACCCATCAGAGCGTTCTCCCGCTTTAGATTAGCTATGACTTCTGTCTCATTAAGAGTCGGAGGGTGCATGTTGGCATCCTGTTTAGATTGCTTGGTAAAAGTAAACAACTGAAGGGTAGGTGGGTAACATTTGGATTTTTCTTCAGCGTTTTCCTCATCTCAATCTCTTGGGCCAAAAGTGGATCATTATCCCATCTTGTTTAAAAATAATATCCTTAACTCGTAAATTCCTAATATCTGTTTCCTTGATAAACTTGAAAAATCGACTACAACTCCCGCCTTTTCCATCTCTTTTGAATAAGCTCCCCGCCACCGCTTACTATCATTGGGTAAACTTTTTGTCAGTCTACATATCGTGCTTGAAACTCGATAGTATGAGTTTCCTAGTATCTATCAATTCAGTAGACGCTGATGAAATTTGTTGACTTTTCTTAACCTTTTGGTTTAAGTTATTGGTAGATATCACTGCTGTCTGGATATCATATGATTCCGCATCACTTTGACGATTGAATAGCGGGTTCTCTAGTTGTTCCTGAAGTATCTTGTTAACATTTTTGTCGTTAAGTTGAGCTCTGAGGAGTCTTCTTGACGTGGATTTTCTGTATCCAGCAGTACGCAAACGCGTGCGGGTACTGATGAATGATTAAGATCTATATGTACACACTAAGTGTGGAGGCCGTTGATAATACTCAGTTGCTCAAATTGAAGTAGATGAGGTCCGGACCCATAACTTATTGGCTGAAAGTTGAACACACCACTGGCCTACATGTTTGAATATCAAAACCCTGATATGTCAAAATATGTTCAACTATAGCATTAAAATATTGATTTTTCCTTCAAAGCTATCAAAGACTCGTTTTGTCCGCATACCCTGAATTTCGTTTCCGTGCAAAGCGTATTCGTTTAGTTGAAAAAGATAAACAATTATACGAAATAGAGGATAACTGGAACGCACAAATGGGTTTTATGGTGAGATGATTTGTGCAGTTATAAACGTGCTTTTTTAAAAGCCAAAACACTGACTAATAAAGCACTAAACTCCAATGAAGAAGGTTGATAAAGACCAAGGAAATTTATTTACTATTTACTTGTTGTCTCTGTACGGAGCATAACAAATGAAAACGATTTCTTACTTAACATTGAATTTTAAGATTATGAGGAAATAACGGGTGAGAATTAAGCTACACAATACAACAGAAATACGACTACATCCATGGACGAGAAGTGAATTTCTAAATCACCTATAGTTTTTCAGAGTTGTGTTATTTCGTCGTACGCGATGACAGAACATCGTAACTATAGAAGTCAAGTCAAACAGTCACTTTTTTCACTGAAGATCTCGATAGTATTATTTTGTATCAAACAACAAACAAGTTATAAACCTGATTAAACATGTCTTGGCAATTTACTGCTGATATTAGGTTGTATGACAGAATGACGAGACCAGTTTTTGACATGCTATGTGACGGTACATAATATGAAAAATTAAAAAAACGGTGAGTGCCTTGTGCCACTTACAAAAGATTGATGAGACTACAATACTCCAAGATTTATGTATAACATATTGGAAATTGATTATGGTGTTTTATTTGTAGTAGGAAGCAAGTAGGCTACATTATTAGTAGAAACAGCTAGCAAACAAGAAAATTTTGAGTAATCCACAGAACATGTCGACACGTTTGAGCAAATTATTGAAACTAAGAATTTGAATGTTAAGAAGTGGATTCCGAACAAAAATTGAAATCTAAGTGGTGTGTGGGCGAGAATGATAATGATTAGTTGTCTGCTAAGTCAGACATGTAGATAGTCTGACAGGTGTCAGATGAGTTATATATTCCCCTATCCTTATCATTATTATGACGCACTTATCATTGATTGTTCATTGTTGTTGGATTGTGTCGGGGTTTTAGTGTGGAAATATATTTACATTGTGGTCAGGCTAATTACGTGTTCTTGATCTGAGTTGTGTTGAAGTCCTGTAGAATAGACACTGGGAGGGAATCTAGTGTAGATAATCGTTTAAGGTAAATTAACGCGCCATACGTGTAAACCCAACCGTTATAACATTAGACGAAGTAAAACCAAGTGTCATAACACTAAGATTTTAAGTGAATCAATACACTTAAACGGGGGGTGAAAATAGATAATATGAATGTGTTAGACAGTGGTGTTAAGTGAGAAAAACAAAAAGAAACCCAATGTACAGTGGAATACAGATGGGTTTTAAAAACGATAGCAGAACTTTTTCTAAACAAACTTGATCATTAATCGGTGGCAAGTTAATTTTAGAACTAATAGTTTATAAGAAACAAGTTTTAAAACTTCTAACGCTTCTGGTAACAGCTACTAGATTATCACTTTAAGCTGTGCACTAATACTAAGATTTATGTAAGATATTATTGAGATGTTACCGGTCTTTGTGCCATGCCATTGTTTTTTAACTGAGACAGAAAAACCATTTCTAGAAGTAGTAGCAAATAGATTATAGACTGAAGTAAAATAACAGTATAAAAGTTGAATGAAGAGTTGCTAGGGTTGAAGCTATCACGGGTTCACTTAGTCTGCGAACGAGAAACAAGATTCGGTGACCAAAGACCAGTAAGCTAGCTATTGATGCGTCCCAGCCCCGCTAACTAGAGGGAGAAGTTCAAGCTTGGAATGGGGAAGTATATTCTGCAAGCAGCCAGAAACAAGCGATAACAACAAAGATAATTCAAAACGTATACATACAGTACAAAACCGTCCCTGGGAAGAGTTACCGAATAGCATACTAAAAGACGCAACGGACCAATAGCATTTAAGACATTTCCAAGCGGGGAATACGACATGAAGGTGACAAGAGCGCTTCCGGCGCGAAAACGAAGAAATTCAAATTCTCTAAATCAAATTACAAAATTAGGTCTTTTCCCAAGTGAGTCTGGGGATCTAATGTCCCCAACGAGAGTTTTGGTCAAACTACTTTTCTAAAAAAGCTTATAACTTCTGCACTCTCTTCGTACAGTTCATTATATGAAGTAGGCTTGTTAACTTTGTAATGTACTTCAGAAGTTGCTTCATCCAAAAACACTTCAATCTATTTTTGAATGGAAGTAATTATTTTTAATAAGTGAATAACCAAGACTAATTTGCAAATTAAAAATCTGTATGATTAACTGAATCTTGTTTCAAAAAATCCCTTTTACATTTAAAGCACTGAAAAGAAAACTAAGATTTTCCTTAAATGTTGAGGATAAATGGATTGCCAAAATACCACAGTGTTATCAGACAAATAATTTTGATATAATGAATAAAGAAAATACATTTTTACATCCATCTTTTTTCTTCAACATTAAAGTTGTCTCATATTCATGACTTCTGATTTCTTGAAAGTTGTACATAAAAGCTACATGACAGAACAGGTTCGTTGTTCAGTGTGTAAAGAGCCAACCGCAAAATTTTCGGCTGTTCCATCAAATAAATATTCATTTTTGTTATTACTATCCGTTTCATTGAGATTAAGAACCACAAGACGCCCTAGTGGGCCAGGATCGTCTACAGACTTCCAGCGATCAGGATAACTAGATGTCCAATGTTTAGTAATGGCAGCTTCGTTACTAAGAATAATTGGTGTCGAACAACTAGAATTGTTAAGGGATGTGTGGTGTGAATCCAAAAGTACTGAACGGTTAACAGGGTTATTTTTAAGAACTACTGCTTCATCCATTGCAGACGACAAGGTAAGATCCAAAAGACTAGGACTTACTTTCGCTACCTGTAAATGAAAAACAAACAAACAGAAAAAGGACATTTAAGTGCATAAGTACTCATAATGAAAGATTCTATATGACTTAAACTACTTTCCAAACAACATGTAGTCCCAATAATAATTCGGACACTAAATTTGTAAGAATAAAAAATGATTCAGTTATAAGATATTAACTTTCTCCAAAGTTGCAGTTTTTATGAGGTTATATCTTTGTACGAATAATTGCACTTTTCAATTTACAGCTCAGCCATGATACACGAACCTTTTTAATAACTTATTGACATATCCTTATGAATTTTATTTCATGTTTTTTAACTTTCTGTCGGGTGTAAATATAAATCCTACTGATGAAGTCTTATGTTGAATAAATCGTTCTCAAGGAGAACGATAGTCTACCCACTTTGACAAAACGGACCAGCTTAGGAGGTTTCCACACCGTGTAGTTTTATCTTAATAGAACATTAGTTAATAAGCTAAGGTCAATTCTAATTGCATATTAAGCAAATAGACTCACGAAGTCAAAATCTAATAGACCAGCCAGAAAAGTTCCTATAACCTATTATCTCTAGGTATCCAAAAAGCTAATTTGTGCAACATAACAAACGAAATAAACTTTAGAACACGTAGAAAGAACAGATATTATTACAGTGGCTTTACTAACACACACGTTTGTACATGTTCAAATGAGCTGTCTATGGATTAAGCGAATTAGTGGAAAGACTGTTATTTAAGCCTATACTAATTCACCTATATATATATATATATATATATATATATATATATATATATATATGCTTACTAAACAATATTCATTGTTCTGCTAGCTATTCGTGTCGTTTGAAATAAACAATACAAATAAGCTGTTCCTAACGCATTTCGTCTAAAACTGTCCTGCATTGTCGGTGGGTTAACGTCATAACAGTTATTAAGTTGAAGCCTACACGATAAGAATAGGCACGCAACGTTATGTTATTAGGTTATTTAAAACGAAACCTTCCTTTTTTTTGTACTCGGAAGTTATCATAATTCATGTTTTCGTTAATGCGATAGTAATAATAAATATTCCTCAGTATATTAACTTTATCTAAGATATGCACATTATTTTTGACAGTATAAAATAAATGGGAAGTATATATATGAAGGTGCTGCAAAAAATGAAAACTTTGCTTATGGCAATAAAAGGATTTAGTAGGCAGATTAGTGATGAAAACACGTGACATTCAATGACTGGATTTCAGGTCAAAACCTCATGTAGTCTAATTCGATTTTGGAAAATCGGTAGTATAACACAAAATGTGGTAAACGCGAAGTACATGATCTTATTCTCGGTAAACGAGTCAAATCGAGAGTTTCAACTAACATATAGATGTAATTACAACCAATTAATCTATAAAGGACATATTAAGTACCATTTACTATCTTATAATAACACTCAGAGGAAGAGAGAAGGTTGATAGTACTTTCAGTAGACATCGTCATTTCGTTCTATTTGTGTGTAAGCTGTGATACTGCCCGGGTGCCCAGACAGAAGCAAGTGGTTTTCTTAGGAGGCCACACTCCGAGCCTTTGACCTAAAGGTCTGACCCACAAGGTAGTCGAGCATCGTAAGGAGATGCAGTCCCATGATAGCCGGTGACCAACAGTTGGTTCATACGCCATTTGTTCCTTCAGGACACTGGAGCTCATGTGCACCATTGGTTTGGAATCAGGGTTTTCCAACTCCCCTGGACGGACTCACCGTGTCAACAGGGTTGCCCAATCTCACCATTCCTCCTCAACTTTGCCATCGATGACATTCTGGAAACAGCTCTGACGGATGTAAGTAATGGCGGTGTGGATCTGTTGCCTGGAGAAAGACTTATCGACCTTGAGTATGCGGATGATATTGTCCTACTGTGCGATAATGCCCAAGCCATGCAATCTGCACCATCGACTTCGGTGGCTTGGAAATGTTCTACGAATGTCGTCCCAGAGAATTCCACGTCGTGCATCATTTGCCGACTCTGGGACTGGTTGGAAGAAGCGGAGAGGTGGTCAGTGTATGACATTTTGTCGTGGTATGAAAGAAAGCTGAAAAGGACTGGCTTCTGTTGGTCCTTCGCAACCTTTTTTTACTCTCTTCATAAAAATGTGGTTGTAACTTCCTTAACTGAAAGAATTCTTCTGGTTGCACCTTTCCGTTTTCACCATTATTATTATTACAGTAACACACACTAATCTGTGGTCGTTATTGTTTTTTCTCTTGTATGCGCCTTAACTTCTATTTCTCTTCCCATTCTCATTGTTTTGTGTGGCGCATATATATCTGGTGCCCCCTTGTACCAATATTTATGTGTTTGAACAAACAATAAAAATAAATAAGAAAATTGATAACTACTAGTAAAGAGGAAAACGATATAAAACTGCCTTACTTTTAGTGAGACAAGACAGTCCTGTCCCAAGTTTAATTGACACGCTTTTGAATATTGGTATGTATCTGTTATAGATGATACGGATGAACTCTTTAATTCCATCATTTGCTTTTTCTGAATTTCATTTACGATATCATCTTCAATCAAAGTGTTGCCGGAAAATGTTGATGCCATTGGTACCTTCTTTTTCTCATCAGAAATTTGATACACCTTTTCTAAAATCACCCTAGAAGCAAAGATATAGTTGTTTAATATACTGCAAATAGTAATAAGGAACTGCTTACTACATATTAAGATGTGGGCCTCTGAAACCAAATAATGCGAACTTTAATTATATCATTGTTAGTGGATTTCTGTAGTTAATAATAAAATTGAAAAAAATCATAAGAAAATTGATTTGCATAGAACAGCTATACGATATTTCGACAGGTTATAAAATTATGTGATACCTATTACCACATGCTTATGAAATATATAGGCGATTAATAGCATTATATTAAAACGTTGCACACCGCCAGAAGTTAGTCCATCATAATCAACATAAATACAAGTAGAATTATGAGCTAGCCCAAGTTAGCATACCATGTCAGTGAAGTAAGATGAAATTAATATTGTGAATCGTAAGGGAGTTGAGACAGTCGTAGTGGCAATTAAAAGTCAGAACTAAACACTAAGAACATGATGTGGAAAAACTCAATGGAAAGATATATCAGAAGGAATACTAGAGCTGAAGATAAAGGTGAAAGAAAGTACGGATTTAATACAAATAGAAAGCGGACAAATTTCGAATACCAATCAGGTACTTTAAACGTATTATTTAAACACAACGTTTTAAAAGATACAAATGGCAACTACGAAACGTGGTCATCAAATAATAATAGGGGAAAAAAGAAGCACTTAATCAATGTAAAAAGTAGCAGAAATCGTCGCAAACGATAGTCAGTGTGTTATGGATGCAGAATAATGTGCCAATCATTATCATGTTAAACCTAGTGATGTCCTTGGACGTTAAATGGACATTTCCTATTGGCCATTATTTATTTCATCCGTTAAATATTGTACAAATGTTGTTTTCTATTTTTACGGTACGATATGGTATGTTTGGTTAGTATATAAATAGAGTACGTCTGAAATACAATGATTCATATCTCAGAGGTTGTGACTTGTGTTCTGGACTCAACTGACTGGGCTAGACGGGGAAGTGGGACCAATCGAGACTCTAGGCCGTCCGTACGTGTTTACGTGTCATTGAATCGATCGATAAATACGCTGCTCTCTAATTTTTCCAGTCAAGGACACAACAATTAGCACAGGGTAAAAATCGACCCAACTTAAAGTCATAACACAGTGAATGGTAAACGTGAAATAACAAATTACAGTATATTAAATCCGAGTGAAAATCTTTAAACTTATTAACTATTTGAAAGGACATATTGATTTTAAAAGATGCATACAAAATTTTCCGGAATTACAAGAAAAAAGTTCCAAACTGAAACAGCACAAAATGACATGGCTAAATAAGGAGTATCAGCAAAAAGGTAAAATACACATGGTCTTGGAGTTTTACAGCAGAATTTGTGAGTAATCAACGATGAAAACGAAGGAATGAGAAGCAAGTATGTTGTATATAATGACGTGACAGCATAAGTAAGGTATATTCCATGAGTATTTCAAACCATCGGTTGACTGTGCACAATGTCAGCTGACCCAGATATGCACGTTTTTATATCTCTAGCAGATAAACTGCGTCTTTAAGTGTATGTACTGGTCAAATGAGAAACATCATGAAAATTGCGTATTTATTAATAGGTACTATTAGAAAGAATCTAGATGTATAAGGTTGAGGGAAGTGAACATAAATTGTACTGTATTGTATAAAACTATTACTATGACAAAAAACTTCATCAAAAAATTATTTAATTACACAGATTTAGGAGTTCATGGTGAAGAAAAGTGACGGAGGAAGTAGAATGTACACATTGATGGGCAAAAACCCACTATTAGCCGTAAAAGCAAAAGTAACTTGACTTTTGAACTAGTCCCAAGTTAAAGAAAAGAACAACCATATACTTACTTCATGTGAGGCTCACAAGACTCTAAAAAGTAATAGTACGCAGGAATCTTGCCATGTGACCACTGTTTTATTTCTGAAAGACCAGTTATCAGCTTTTTTAAACAAAGGTCGGTTGCAGAGACATTCTGATGGATTTCAGAGTAATCTGAAAACATAGTCCAGTTGAAAGCCATACTAAATGACCGTAAGAAAGCATCTCTATCTAGACAAAGCAAATTAATAAGGCAGATCCATTCTTTTGAACGAGCTAAGGTTAACTGGTTCAACAGGTATCTTAACTGACAAAGAGTCCCTTTATCAAAAGTCCTAGAAAGTAAAAAGACAGAAAAATGTTTTACGCAAGCCCACTGGAGTAAGACTGCTCTAAGCAAAAATTTTTTAGCCAGATTACTTATGAATATATAAAAGTGTACATCAGTTAAAAACAGTTGTATAAAAAGATATACTGACTAGTCGTCAGAAGCTTTTACTTGAACAAAACTGATTCCAATCGGATCCCATAAGGTATTCATTAACCGCATCAAAATTCAAGCGATCTATTTACATCGCTGCCGTACTTATGTAACCATCTCTTGATTTATTACCCTATCATATTTGTCGCATTTTCATGGATTAAAATCTTGTCAAGCATGTGATATACTTATTATTTTCCATTTACCTTCGTTATTCGTACTAAAAATCCTTCTAATCCTATTTAGTTCATAATTTGATTCAGTTTATTATTATGTACAATTTGCTACAATATCCATACAGTTTTTATGTACTCAGTTCTTAACTCTGATTAGTTACTATAAAGTATTTATTACCATTACTATTGATCTGGGATTATGACTGTCGAAACTGTTGAGGACTTATTGATAACTAACCAAGTAACGCTAAGTGTATTATGAGCAAATGTTGTCTTTTTGGTGTGCGAAATATTGATTCACATTCTCCGCTTGTCCTATTTTTAGAAGCTTGGTAAGGTTTAGGTTGTATGTGTTTCTTGTTTACCGTTGAATATGTCCATATATCACTGCATGTTACACTTAGTTCCCTATGAAATAATTTTTGATGAATATATTCACATGATACTAGTTATTACGTGTTCACATATTGGAAACACAACCACTGAAAGTAAAATTAAAAAACAGGTGAATATATTAGTTAGAGAAATACAAATAAGCTTGTTAACACGAAACTCACGATCGGAAGTCAAAGTTAAAAGGTGAAGATTCAGAAAATGTATTATCAATTTGTACCATAATAGACGAATTTAACAAAGGTTCATTAGGAGAAGTCGAGCAATTGTATATTCCTCCACTGAGGTTAGAATCAACCACAACTAAATTGAATTCTTTTAACAAATTTAAGAAAACCTGGGGCCAGTTAGGTTCGGGTTGGATATTATGACTATAATAAAGAAACAAAATAAAACTTGAAGAAGAACTTTCGTCTAAATTCGAACGAATAGTTTCACAACATTGGGGCGCCTAGTTAATGTGAAACATTAAAGAGGAAGAATGTATTTGTAAAATCCCAGCAAAAGAATTTGAGGTAAATCCAACGTTTCGCCTGGCAATCTGGTCCAAGCTTTTTCAAGAAAAATATAATCAAGCAACAAAATTACCTCGATTTTGAACAAAACACGTTGAGTTTTCATTAAATTCTTAACAAGAATAACAAAATTGTAATTATGAGACAAATAGTATTAAGAAAACGAATAGTAAGAAGATCTTGACTACCAACATAATCAATTCGTTCAACATTATAGTTTTTAATAAAGTGGGATTTTCTTTTAGATGATTGGAAAGACAGTAGACAGATGGAGAAGCAAAGACAAATGAAATACAGAAGGCTGTCGAAGACAAGCGAAAGCTTATACACTCGTTTCACTTGGTGAACTTTTTGCCAGTGTTAGAAGCATTTGCAAAACAGACAAACATGAGAGAATCTTGCATAAAATTACATTTGCTCAAGTTTTCAGAATTCAGAAAATATAAAACCAGCAAACGAAAATAAAGATAAAAAGCACGTGAATAGATACCGTAAAAAATGAATAGAAAATAATGCGATTTAAAGATAACATTGAATGTCAAAATGACTTGAATTAATTAACCACAGATAACTTACATATTTTTATTTAACCACATTTGCAATACGTTTGTGTGACCAGTACTAAAACCATCATTAAAAATTTCGGGAATATTTGTAACTAATTGGGATGCACGTTTAAGGTAACCTTGAGAAAAATAATCCACAGCAACCCTAAACAAGAGCTGTTCAAGCTGATTTCGAAGAGTGGAAGATGGTTTTTGGATATGAGTTACTGACGAGTCAGACGATATCTCGATTCTATTACACAAATCTTTGATATGGTCATTTCCTAAGTCCAGTAATTCGATAGGAACTCTTGTAGGTCGATACTTTGACATTCCACCATACCAGACGACCTTGTTGATAGATTTCTCAGGACCGGCTTTTAACTGCATATGATCATTATCAAGATTAGATAAATTTTTTAAATGATTACATGGGTTGAAGTACATATTGTGGGATTTGTTAAAGTCTTTTTTTCTACTATGCCCATCACTTGAACTATATTCAGTTGGATCTGGACAGTTAAAAATAAAAGTATATTCGCATATATATATAAAGGATTAGATATTTATACCAAATACTTAAGTTAGTACTACATACTTAATTACAGTAAGGAATCCCCAGTAAAAATATGCAATAAAACTGTCCAATACACATTTTACTGGACAGTATTCAAATATAATTAAAGAAGCGTTTCAACGACGATCAATTTCCACTAATCTTCATGCGCGAAAACGCTTTCGCCCATCTTACCTTCCATGATATTTTTTCCTTCGTGAATCTTATTGTGATAGATTCATCATTTTCTGAAGAATAAGGGGATAAATAAATCTACCAATGTTGTGGTTCAACTTGAATTTTTTACCGTAATCAGTTTTAGGATGGGTCGTATGTTTTTAATAAAAAGACATGAGTACATTCAATCGAAATACCTAATTAAACAACGAAAAACCTAAAACAAGAAGATTAATAGTAATATTATTTGGATAGTTGGAAAATTGGAGTGAGATATAAGTCCAAATAGAGTTTCTATATGGATGAAATTAAGTCACATTCAGGTTTTTTTTACATCATCTAAAAACTAGTGATATTTTATCCGTGTATTAATAAAAAAGATTCAAAAATTACTATACACATGAAGAGAATAATGGTTTAGGTGACATAATTGCAATCTCCCTACGGTATAGGACTGAGAAACTTGATAACATTTATACGATAATTTTTTTTCTTACAAAAAGATAATTTTGAAGACTTGTCTGATCTGATTATACACGACAGTTTGAATTAAAACATGATTTTGAGTGAATTAAAGCATCAGAAAGATTCGTGTGATCGATATTCTTCTGAAATCTAAGAGAAGCTTTGAACTATTAAGCGGAAGTAGGTGCTGCTATGTTGGTGTCGATATCGAAGACTTTTTTGGGCACAAATGTCTAGTTGAAACTCCATACAATTAACAGTAATTAAACCGGTACAGGGAATTTTGAACGAGAAAACGAAAATATGCAGCGATAAAAAGCACAACTATAACCACCAAAATAGATGGAAGTCCGACTTGAATAAAAACGTACGCTTATTTCAAGTTGAAACCTGCTAGCCAAAACATAGTATGGGTGGCAAAGAAAACGGCTTGCGTAAGAAGAAAAGTACTTGGAAGGCCTTAAATGAACCACTCAGATTTCTGACAACAACTACTGGGTTCCAGCGGGAAATTCAATACGCAATGACGACTAGCTGGTAAATTGTCAGGACATTTGTAACAACTGTATGACACAGGATAAATGAGGGATGAAAAAAATTGAAACGTTTTTCACTTTAATAGATGAATGGTACATATGACGTTAAGAAATGTTTAATTCTAAAAAAACGTTGATAATACTAGACATACAAAATTGGAGTTTTTAAGAGATTTGTTGTTTAAGAATAAGAACAGTAGCAAAATATACTGTTATTTTACCGTGGTAATACAGTAAATTCCGAAAGATCATTTATAACAATCTTTCGTTTAGCCGCTTATAATCACTCTAAAGTTGCGATAGTAGAATTTTCAAATCACATTTACTTACCAATAGCACACAGAAAGCGTAACAGATCACGAATGAGATTCCAATTCATAGATTGAAGCGATGCTCGAAACAAGGTTAATGCGCACTACAACAGTGAGAAAATGTGGAAAGCTGTGAAACTGAAGCAAAATTTTCAGTACGTTAATTAGAAAATAACTCAACAAACCTAAATACAAAACTAACATTTTTGTGATACTGAACAGTTAATCTCAATAAATACGAATAATGCTTCCAATTGAGAACCCATTTTCATAACTTTATCAAGTCATTTACATTTAAGAATTCTTGAGGGAAATAATCGATTGTTTGTTGTTATGATGCGTTGTGTTCGAGATCTGATACGGATACAAAAAGTGCTACGCCCCAAACGTGAGAGAAGACACATGAGTCAAAGGGAAAAATTTATTGAGCTCCCGAATTATATGCATAAAAATTCATTCATATGTACGTTTCTAAATTTAAGGAAATCAATAAGCTAATGGGACGCATCTGTACTTTGGGATATTTTAGGTTAGCACTAATCGATTTTCTCATTTCGTTAATTCTGTTTGAGTCAATATAAATTTTATAAACCAGTATTTCTCAGCACAATTGTAAATAGTTACATTTTCATCTTTGAAATTCTACAGTACTTCTAAATGTAACTTATTAAAAAAAATTTAAAAACGGCACCAAACGTTATGATTGAGTGAGAAAGATATACACTAGAAAACTAATAGATGATATAATCAGAAATGATTAAATACTTCATATTCGCTACATAACTAACAACTTATGTTTTTAATGTGGAAAGGAATTCAAGCATACAGGTATATATATATATATATATATATATATATATATATATCACTAGGTACATCAAACTCCGCCTGAAGTCCCTCCGGGGGTACTGCCAGTCCCAAGCCTGGATAAAGGAGGAGGGTTGGGCATGGGGTTAGCGTCCCCATCCCGTAGAAAAATAACTCGCTAAAAAAACGCTAACCAGAAAAAATTATTCAAACCTTTTAAACTCTGCCCTGGGAGTCAGAAGATCTTCATTTAGAAGAATTATGACGCCTCATGATGAAAGCCGAATTCCTTCGGAAGTTACGAGGCCGATGCCCCTTCTGACAACCAGAGCGACCATTTGTTTAGGTACATGGAATGTTCGTACAATGTGGGACACCGGGAGAGCCTTCCAAATTGCTGCAGAAATGAGAAGATACAACCTAGAGGTACTTGGGATCAGTGAAACACATTGGACACAAGTTGGACAACAACGACTAGCTTCAGGGGAGCTTCTGCTATACTTCGGCCATGAAGAAGAAAATGCTCCACATACACAAGGAGTTGCATTGATGCTGTTCAAACAAGCACAAAATGCACTTATAGGATGGGAATCTCATGGACTAAGGATCATCAAAGCCTCGTTCAAAACAAAGAAAGAGGGTATTTCAATGAACATCATCCAATGCTATGCGCCTACCAACGACTACAATGAAGACGCTAAAGATCAATTCTACAATAGGCTGCAGTCAATAGTCGAGAAGTGCCCAACAAAGGACCTGACCATTCTGATGGGAGATTTCAACGCCAAGGTTGGAACGGACAACACTGGATATGAAGACATCATGGGACGACACGGACTGGGAGAAAGAAACGAAAATGGTGAGAGATTTGCAAACCTATGTGCCTTCAATAAACTGGTCATAGGCGGCACCATATTCCCACATAAACGCATACACCAAACCATATGGACTTCACCGGATAACACCACGCAAAACCAAATCGACCATATTTGCGTCAACAAAACGTTCAGGAGGACTATAGAGGACATGAAAACCAAGAGAGGAGCTGATATAGCATCAGATCATCACTTGGTGGTCGCCAAGATGAAATTGAAACTCAAGAAGCACTGGACAACGGGGCGGACAATATCACAAAAGTTCAATACGGCCTTTCTTCAGGATACTAACAAGCTCAACAAATTCAAGATAGACCTCAGCAACAAGTTCCATGCCTTTCATGATCTACTCAATGGAGAAGGAACTACTGTGGAGAGCAACTGGAAGAGGATCAAAGAGGCAATCACTTCAACATGTCATGAGGTCCTGGGTCACAAGAAGCACCATCACAAGGAATGGATCACTGTTGATACACTGGATAAGATTCAAAAAAGGAGGAACAAGAAAGCAGCAATCAACACCAGTCGAATAATAGCAGAAAACGCCAAGGCACAAGCTGAATACACAGAAGTAAACAAACAAGTGAAGAGGAACATCAGAACTGACAAACGTAAATATGTGGAAGATTTAGCAACGACGGCGGAAAAGGCTGCAAGAGAAGGAAACATGAGACAATTGTACGACACGACAAAAGAAACTCTCTGGAAATCGCCGCAAACCAGAACGACCAGTGAAAAGCAAGGAAGGCGAGGTAATCACCAACATTGAAGAGCAACAAAACAGGTGGGTAGAACAATTCAAAGAACTCTTGAATCGACCAACTCCACTGAACCCACCCAACATCGAAGCAGCACCCATGGACCTCCCAATCAATGTTGGCCCACCAACAATTGAAGAAATCAGAATGGCCATCAGACAAATCAAGAGTAGCAAAGCAGCAGGACCAGACAACATTCCAGCAGAGGCACTAAAAGCAGAAGTAGCGGTAACTGCAAGGATACTCCACATTCTCTTCAATAAGTTTTGGGATGAGGAGCAAGTACCAAAAGACTGAAAGAAGGACTTTTGATCAAAATACCGAAGAAGCAAGTGTGATAACTACAGGGGCATCACTCTTCTCTCAATACCGGGAAAAGTCTTCAACAGGGTATTGTTAAACAGGATGAAGGACTGCGTAGACGCTCAACTTCGTGATCAACAGGCAGGATTCCGTAAGGATAGATCGTGTACAGACCAAATCGCAACTCTACGGATCATTGTGGAACAATCAACTGAATGGAATTCATCACTCTACATCAACTTCATTGACTAGGAAAAAGCATTTGATAGCGTGGACAGGACAACACTATGGAGGCTTTTTCGACACTACGGCGTGCCTCAGAAGATAGTCAATATCATACAGAGTTCATATGATGGATTAAACTGCAAAATCGTGCATGGAGGACAGTTGACAAAGTCGTTCGAAGTGAAGACCGGTGTTAGGCAAGGTTGCTTACTCTCAGCCTTTCTCTTTCTCCTGGTGATCGATTGGATCATGATGACATCAACATCTGGAGGGAAGCGCGGGATACAATCGACATCTAGGATGCAGTTGGACGATCTAGACATCGCAGATGATCTGGCCTTTCTATCCCAAACGCAACAACAAATGCAGAAGACGAACAGTGTAAAATGTGATCGATAGACGAACCCACCAATAATAAAGGGAAACGCCCACCACCACATTAACTCCTTTTGACCTTGTACGACTGTATCTCTTTATTAACCAATCACAGTTTAATGTTCATTGTAAAACAATATTTGCTTGTTGACTCATTCTTCCTATTCTCTGGCTACTCTTCAGTATGTTATTTGTCTGTTTTTTCCCTGTATTAATAGACCGTACAGTTTGTTTGTACACTAACGATGTTAATTTATGTTTTAGAAACAGATAAATTCTATTTAGCCAAATAGCTTGCTTGTTCTGACTTTGGCCAAACCAAGACTCTGTATTCGACGGTCTAGAGAATAGCTCAGAATTAAACCTGTAGGAAATTGCTCCCTACAAACAGTGTGGCAGCAGCCTCAGGTCTCAAGATACACAAAGGGAAAAGCAAGATTCTCCGATACAACACAGCATGCAACAATCCAATCAAAATTGGCGGAGAAGATTTGTAAGATGTAAAAACCTTTACATATCTCGGCAGCATCATTGATGAACAGGGTGGATCTGATGCAGATATGAAGGCGCCGATCGGCAAAGCAAGAGCAGCATATTTACATCTGAAAAACATCTGGAACTCAAAGCAACTGTCAACCAACACCAAGGTCAGGATTTTCAATACAAATGTCAAGACAGTTATACTGTATGGGGCAGAAACCTGGAGAACTACGAAAGCCATCATCCAGAAGATGCACGTGTTTATTAACAGTTGTTTACGGAAAATACTTCAGATCCGTTGGCCGGACACTATTAGCAACAACGTACTGTGGGAGAGAACAAACCAGATCCCAGCGGAGGAAGAAATCAGGAAGAAGCGCTGGAAGTGGATAGGACACACATTGAGGAAAGCACCCAACTGCGTCACAAGACAAGCCCTCACATGTCCTCATGGACGGAGGAGAAGAGGAAGTCCAAGAACACATTACGACCGAGAAATGAAGACAGAATGAGAAAAATGAACAAAAATTGGGATAGAACTCGAAAGGGAGGTCGAGGACAGAATGGGGTTGGAATGCTGGTTCGGCTTATCCTCCATGAGAGTAACAGGTGTAAGTAGTAAGTGTTGA